ACAAGTAGGGACGATGAATGAGAGGGGAAAATATAGAGGTTTAACGAAGCTAAGGCGAGATATGTCGGTCGAACTACGGACTGCTGGGCATGTACAGGACACCAGTCCCGAATAAACCGGGAAGCAAAATGTTTTTGTGCGTGCCCACTTCGTGTCCGCTCGACATTGTTCCCGCTTTTCAATGTTAATTTCAGAGAAAATATTCAGAAATCACATCCCACCAAACCTCATCCTTGTCCCCCCTTAAAAAAAAAAAACACCAACACAAGCTATTCAAAATCATTTGAGACATCGTTAATTTTTATTCAAAGCAAAGCTGTTTTCAGCTCAAGCTATAGTCTAAGATTCCATGTTGCAGTGCTTCTGTTCAACTGATCACAGATGACTTCAAGGTGCGGTAAAGACAAAAAATTACCATATTAGGTGCTGTCGACTGTTTCACAAAATAGCTCTTACATGGGTAGCAAGTCTGCTGATTATTATTTCTTATAAGCCTGGGTTCTTCTTCTCTGCTTTTCTAGGGGAAATAAAATCAGATGGAAACTAAGAGCACGTCAACAAGGTAAATATGAATGTTATCATTTGTGTATGATACTTTAAAAGCTTGATAGGGAATTAGTGACATTATTTTTGCCATGTTTTTATGCTCAAGTCCCCTATACCGCAACTTAATGCATATTGTATGTTAGTAACTGTTCTTTTTCATCTATTTATTTATTTATTTCTGATAATTCTCATGAAATTCATCTTTTCAAAAATTGTCACGTCGGAAATGATAACCAATCAAAACACAATATTCAACCAACAAATAGAACAGATATGCAAAGCTTTGTGGCTAAACTTAGGCCTAATAAAATATTAAGTTTTCCAAATTTTTAAATTTTTATTGTTTATTAATACTCCAACGAGAGAAACAATATTTTTAAAGCTAACAATACAAAACTCGTACTATTTACGACACAAGGCAATGCTACTGAGTTCGTTCCCTTACTTACAAATAATTAACATTTGATAATAATAGTAATAATTTATTGACTTCTAAGGCGCAAATTCTGAGTATATTACAATACTGTGTATATTACAATACTAATTATTACTCCACGTTAGTTATACAATGCTATACGGATTACTTTCCGTTATTATCAAAACAACTAGTTATATTAGACTTCGAATAGCGTTACTTCTGGTAATATGAATTTCGTAACCCTATTAAATAATTACATTTTTGGCAGTACTTTGCGTAACTTATGAAATCTACTTACTCTGATTTTTAATCATCATATCAACAAGCATAGAAAAACACCAACAACAAGACATAAAAACAAAAGACTTTTACATCACTGATGTCACAGTGCTTTTTTTGAAATGAAATAATCAGCAAGCTAGTTTATTTATATGTTTTTTTTTCTCGTAAGAGCAATGAGAAAGAGTTCAAACTTGTGAACCAAACCAGTAGTTGGTTGTGGCAGAGCTATTTGATGTGCACCGGAAGTTAGGATTGTAAAATGCATACCGACCAAAATTTTGCTCGCTATAAGTACCATGAACTTGAATGGACCCTGGTGCGCTACCAAATTCGCAAAGGCTTTCATTGCTTTTGTGGGTTAAAATGAACTCACCGGCCTGATACCAAACTGCGGTGCAGTTTTTACAGTTGTGTCCATGGACATCGATGTAATCGACAAGTTTACAAGTTTTCCTACCCCTATCCCGATGAGTCAACAAGTCGAAGTTTGTAAACTTTGCTCGAACGTAATCTCTATAGTCGAAAACGCTGGCAGGATCGAAGCTGCAAGTTATTCGCCAGTGTGTTGACTCAGATCTCAACCCTTTCATGCGGTCTAATTGAAGCCTGTATGCCTCCCAGTTGGGAACCTCTGAGCTCATTGGCTCATTTGTGAACAAACCCCGTTGGGTAAAAGGTTTGCCAACGTTCTGTAAGGTTTCTGACATAACTAGAGTCCAGGCCCAACCGGGCTCTGAGGTGAAGTCGCAGTAGACTTTAAACATATCACCGTTGTTGTCTTGGATACAGAAAAAGCCTGATACAGGCTTACTGATCTGCTGTCTTGCCTCTTTGCAGCTGCGTGGCGGCTGCGAAAATGAAAAAGACCGCAGAAGGGTTAACCTTCTACGAGCTCTGACAAGTCCTATCTCGAGTTTATTAAAGACATCTTACTGTTCTCTGCTTTCGTTTTGGTACTTTTTTTTAATGAAAATGCTATGATTCTGAAGTTATTTTAAGGAAGATGAACCAAGGTGGCAAACACAGTCAAGTTACCTTTCTTTGCCGTGCGAAAACATAGCCAGCTCTTTCCACCAAGTTTTCCTGATCGCCCTCTTTTCCGCCGTTTAATTCACAATTGCCATAGTCGGACTCTGACATTTGGTAATTGTATGATGAACATGACGGAAGAGACAAGCATCTGTGAGCACAGGAGAGAATTCCACCACGAGTGAACAATGACTTGATCACCTGGCCGATCAGGACGCGGTTGTAGAAAAGAGAATCAAAAGATTCAGTGTACTGCTGACAAGAACGTTCATGGGCATAGCAATAGTATGAAAACAGAACAAAACAAATGATAATCTTTTTGGAGAACATTTTGGATGAAGCTGCGATGTGACCAGATAAACGCTCAGAACTTTAGGGCAAGTGTGATGACAAATTTGTGTTTAATGAAGCCTTTTACACGCAACAAAACATTATTATTTACTCGGTAGCCTCTTCACCTGTCCTAATTATGGAACTCGTTCATAAGGAACGCTAGTTCAATGGAGGGGGTTACTTTACAATAGAAGTCTTTCTATAAACAAACTTTGAGCAAACAATGGAAGATCATTATTGCAAATTTAACGCCCCAGGAGGTAGCGAAAACAAAGTTCCACTATCGACATTGAACTCCCGAACGAAAACCGCCAGCGGACAATGTTATAATATTCAGGAATCTTTATCTTTGTTAAAATGAGTCTCAACCTGCTGAAAAGTATGAAACACGTTGATCGCAAAAGTTGAGTGCAATTCCTTTCCAATCGCAGCGTCAAAGAAAGCTAACGGAGAAGGAGTGAAGCACCCAAAATATTAAACAGTGATAATCTGAAATTCAAATACCAAATACCTAAATTTTGTAAACTTAGAATAAACTTTACAAGTCAGCTTAATTAGCTGTAGCGAGTACCTCTATGTCTTCTATTTTAATACTTTGTTATGCAAGTTCATGTTGCACCAAGGTTACGAACACACTTTGAGAACTCTAAGAGATGGTACTTTCTCCATAATTTGGTTTGTGGAGAAGTAATTTTCTTTTACTAAATCCATTACTTTGAGCAGAATTAACACGTGTTCGCGTGATGCGTCATCATTGTCTGTACTCACACCTTTCATCTTAATACGGCAGAGAGTTCTTAATTTGGTTTGGGAAGGACAAAAATGAAAATGTTTCTTGCAAAAGAAAAAAAAAACAATTTAGTAAATATGAACTTACAACAAAAAAAAGAACCGAAGTGGACTATGCCGTCACTCCTCCTTAAGCATTCAATAGGCTCATATTCACGCGACACGAAGAACCAGCAGATGGAGAATTTAGCACCTTACAAATCTAAAGAACAATATTTTTTATTGTTTTTGACTTAAGACTAAATTATTTCACAAAGTGGGTTGGACACAGGAACTGCGGAATCCACCCCCAACTGGCTCCCCTGTTTCGTCCTTCCGAGGGTCGGTTTAGCCCAGTTTGTAACCGAACATACACTCTGGAGAGCTTTTTTAATAATTAGAAGCTACACTTTTTAGTTTGCATACTCTCGCATGGCACAAAGTTGAAGAAAAAATTTAGATGTAATTGTTTTTGAGAAATTCTAAACAGTGAGGCAAGGAATGAGTTTAAACAATCACAGAAGACACACATATCAAAATTTCTGCTCACATTTCTCACGAAGAAACTTAAAATTACACTGAAAAACAGTTAAATTAACATTTTGCACCCCAAACCACTAATGCCTTTGTATTATCAAAGGGAGTCGAGTACATTATTTTCAGACCGTTATTAGTTTTGTCTACATTCAATATATTTAAAGAATTGATATTTGGATCCTTTCGATATGTAAATATGTTTGGAGACAAAGCAGGTGCGATTTTTCGTTTAATACTGAATTTTGGGTTCCAAGAAGACACAGTACTCTCCATTAACTTGAATAACAGTGAAAAGCGTTAACTCAACAGAATTACAAAAGTTTAGTTGCGGTATTGAAAAATTTGGAGAAAAATTGTTCGCGTGAAGTGTCATCATTGTCTGTACTGACACCTTTCAACTTAACAACACGGCAGAGGGTTCTTAATTAGGTCTGTGCGGGACAAATAATGAAAATGTTTCTTGCGAAAAAAAAAACCAAACAATTAAGTAAATATGAACTTACAATACAAAAAGAGAACTTGAGCCGAAGTGGATTATACCATCATTTCTCCTCGTGCATTCAGTGGACTCATATTCATGCGACATGAAGGACCAGCGGATGGAAAATTTAGCACTGTGCAAACCTGAACACGATATTTTTCATTGTTATTGACTTATGACTAAATTATTTCACAAAGTGGGTTGGACACAGGAACTGCGGAACCCGCTCCCTACTGGCTACCCTGTTTAAACCTTCTAAGGGTCGGTTTAGCCTAGTTTGTCATCTAACATAGACTCTGGAGAACATTTTTAATAATTAGAAGCTACAATTTTTGGTTTGCATACTCTCGTTTGGCTTAAAGTTGAAGAAAGAATGTAGATGTAACTGTCTTTGAGAAATTTTACACAATGAAGCAAGGAATGAGTTCAAATAACGAGAGAAGACACACATCACAATTTCTGCTCACATTTGTCACGAGCAAACTTAAAAAAATTACCCTGAAAAACGGTTAAATTAACGTTTTGCACCCCAAAGCGCTAAACTCTTTGTACTATCAGAGGGAGCCGAGTACATTATTTTCAGACCGCCACTAATTTTGTTTATATTTAATATATATACAAAGAAGTGATGTTTGTTTCCTTTCGATGTGTAAATGGGTCTGAAGACAAAGCATGCAGATGCCATTTTTCGTTTAATACTGTAGTTTGTGTTTCAAGAAGACAAACCGCTCTCTATTGACTTGTATAACAGCGAACATTGTTCACTCAGCAGAATCACAAAAGTTTCCTTGCGATTTTGAAAAATTTAGAATAAAATCTCTTGACGTTTCCAATTAATAATTTAAGGCAGTTTAGTGTTAACAATTGAGTTGAAAACTTAAACTAACCATCGTAAAGAGTTTAAATGCACCTTTCGTCAGAACTTTACCATCTTACATTAAGGAAAGCCGAACATGCACTTGAAATTTTTCGTGACTTGAATTTCCTCGACCAAAACAAATTTATTTTCACTATGGATATTACATCTCTTTATATTGTCGTTCCCAGTGACGAAGGTCTCCGGGCCCTAAAACATTTTTTCGATCAACGCACTGTTTGGGAACCTTGCTCTGAAACACTACTCCGTCTAGCCGAAATAGTTCTTACACTCTCTTGCTCTCCATTCGGTGGTAACTACTGCAAACAAACTAATGGCGTAGCTATGGGTACTAAATGGGACCCAGCTATGCCAATCTTTTCGTAGGTTTTATCGAACATCAATTTTTTAATCAATACCAAGGCCCCAAACCTAAACTCTACGGCTGTTACATTGACGACTGCATCGGCGCTACCTCCTCTACCAGTCAGGACTACAAACGGCTGAGAAGAAAAACACTGACTGCATTCCATTTACTCTCATATTTCACCCTCACAACCAAGCTATCAGTCTTAAAAACTTTAAATTACTCCAAAACGATTCAGAGACTGGTACTATCTTTTCGCAACCTCCACTAATTTCATTCAAACGTGACAAAAGCATGGACAACTTTTTGGTCAGAAGTTCATTTTAAACCAATGACCAATCTGGAACTTTCAAATGCGCTCGCTCACGATGCAAAACTTGTCCTTTCATTCATAACGTAGAGAAAATGTCGGAACCCTAGAGATCCATTAAAATAACTGATTACTTTACCTGCACCTCTGCCAATGTCATTTAATGCATAACCATTATGCAAAAGAGTTATACTTTGGTGAAACAGGTTGACGACTAGGTGCCCGATTCCGAGAACACCTTCGCGACGTAGAAAGAAATGACAAGGACGCATCTAAACCAGTCGCGCTAGACACTTTAATCTCCCTAATCATTCTAAACAACATATGGCAATTTGCAGCCTCTCCCTAGATCTAGGAAGTTCGGAAAGCCGCAAAACGCCAGCCTTTAAACTCTTTTTCGATAAAAAAAAAATTAAGCCTAAAACTCTTTACGGTGGTCAATTTGCGCCTTCAACTCGGTTGTTATCACTAAATTACATGTTAAACTCTCCAGCCAACACAGCACCACAGTTTCTTTAGAAAATTACCCCCTTAATAATTTAAGGCTTTTGCCTAATGCAAAGCTCACGGTCTGCAGCCCAATGGCCACGGCCATCAGCTTTACAGCCAGCGGTTCAAGGGTACAGCGGCAAACGGGCCACAGTATAATTTATGGCGCGGGGGCTTGCGTCCTATTTCATCACTACGTGTTTCGGTCAGTGAGCTTGGTCTATCTAAGAAGGATGGTGAGTCTTCGTTTACTTTTCGGATCGTTTGGATCATTTTCAATCTTTGCAATGCTTTCTTTCAATTTGTTAAGTCTTTTACGTCTTTTTTCACATACCTCTACGGCAAAGCGGAAAAATATTCTTTGAGTTTCAATTTCAGTCACAGAAAGCATTTCATCTATGAGATGGAAAATGATGTAAGTAAGAGAACGTTGTTTATGGAATACCCACATGTTCTCAAAACGCACTGTTCTCTTTTGCATTCTCTTTTCGCACTATTGCTATGGCGACGAGGTCTATTGTGGGCGTCCCATTGATTCCCTCTTATACCACCATTTATCATTTGTTTTGTTCTGTTTTCATACCATTGCTATGCCCATGAACGTTCTTGTTAGCAGTACACTGAATCTTTTAATTCTCTTTTAGGCTCAAGTCCCTGATACTCTAGCTTAAATGCATATTTTCTTTCAGTAACTCTTATTATGAATATATTTATTTCTGATGATATGATTTTCAGCAACCAAAATGAATTTTCATTTGCCATCGATAGCCCATTGTCATCCTGACTGTTTTTTTGCTGACAATTATGTTTTGAAAATTTGTCATTTGAGAAAAATCTCCAATCAAAACAAAGCACAGTGAGATCACATTAACTCGAAGCTTGAAGGAAAACTGAAGAAGGTTCAAGTTAGTCTCATACCCAGAACATCGAGGGACAGGCGGTTATTCAGGTCTGAGTTATCGGGAGTTCGAGTCACCGGGAACCAGAAGAAAGGGAAAAAAGGTGTTTGTTGGTTTTTTTAATTCATACAATCTAAATTTGACTCAAATTTGATGTGAGAAAGAAGTCAAGCGGATATGGAACA